AAAACATTTATGCAAGCATGCAGAAATGCGATCGACAATAAACGCTCACCAGTATGTTTATGGAACTGTTTTTTATTTTCGATACTTTTTCGTCTTGTGTTCGAGAAAAGTACCTTAGTTTTCTCGTTTTTTGTACGAAAAACTATGTCCTTGAAAAAACCCACCATTTTCGTTAGAGCTTCCTTTTCTTGACATTTTTATCATTTAATGGCACCTTCTGTGACCTTTTTGTTTGAGGTTTTCCGAAGTAGCCTGACGGTTGCCGCATCTTTCGAAAGTAAAATGGCGCCTGTTGTGGCGAAATGGCAGCGTATGCGGCAGTCCGAAGATGCAACTAATGCTGCCACGGGCACCGCAACGACAAGTGAGGGCCATCGCTTGAGAGCGCGACCGAGGAGTTCACACGTCTACAATACTCGGAGGTCGGTCGGCGATTTCTTTAATTTTTATGCGTAGTACAAAACTCATATTGTCACGGGGTTGTCTCTGTGTGAGTTTGTGTATGTGTCCGCAGCAACTTGTCCGCAACTTTCAACCCGGGAATCACAAAAGCTAGGAAGCTGAAAATTTTGGGGGACGTTACCCACCCACGTGTGACCCCGCAAATTTAAAATCAGCCTCCCCGTACCCGCGGATAACAGGTACAGCTCCGTAAAAGTTTGGGCAGGTAAAGTTATCACAGAAACTACGGAAGCTAGAAGGCTGAAATTTTGTGGGCATGTTCTCTGCCCATGTGCTACCCAGAAAATTTAAATCAGCTTCCCCCTGCCCGTGGATAACATGCACGCTCCGTGAAAATTTTTGCGGATAAATTATTAACTCGGAAACCAGTGAATATACGAAGGTGAAATTTTAGTGTAATAACCCTATGCCCACGCTCGACCTAGCCCATTCAAATTCAGCGTTCCTGCGCTTTCAGGTATTACCTACGGCCTCTTTAAAGTTTTGGCGGGGGAATTATTATCTCGGGGACCAAAAAAGCCAGAAAGCTAAATTTTATGGTAATGTTTTCTATCCACATACAATCCTGCAATTTTAAATTCAGCCTCCCGCGCGTCCGAGTACCACTTACGGCACCGTGAAAGTTTCGGTGGAGAAAATTATCTTGGCGCGGAAGTTGAGAATCTGAAATTTTGGGGTGATCTCCTCTACAAACGTACGACCTCGCAAATTTGGATTCAGCTTTCATGCACCCTTGGGTACCATGTACAGCCCCGTAAAAGTTTTGATAAAGGAATTATTATCTCGTTTGCGTGAAATTTTTAGTAGGGAATTCCGCAACTTAAGAACCAGACATTTTAACTATTTTTGCGCAGACCAAAGTGCAAAGCAGTGAAAATCGTTAGTAGGCAGTCGTTCGGTGGACGGAATTGCACAAAACGCATGATCGCACTGACTGCCTTGGTGCTCGCCGCTATTTATTCCAATGGACGTGCAGTGTAGCAGTCTGTTTAGAAAACAGCCTGTAGACTTCTGACAAGATGCAATCGTTTGAGCCACTTCCATATGCCTTCTTTTGTTAAATAGAATGAAATTTGAAAGAGATTTTGACTTTTTCATCTTAAAAGTGATGTTGTCAGTTTTAGTCGTCATGAAGACTCTGAAGTTCCAACATCATCTACAACAGCGCCTTGCCGTCCTGGACGATCTGGAAGATTGCCAAACGGATATTATCGATATTTGAATAATGGCACATACATGGGGCAAGAACCAGGTTTCATTTTTTCTTTGGCGCGCCCAATTTTTATTTTGTATATTCTCCCCAGTTTTTGTTAATATGGGTAGCACTTCTAACTAAGATTTGCCTTTATCATTCTGTTGAAATTTAACTGGGCCAATGAATCGTGGTGAACTCCTCGTTCATTGATTTGGTAAATGTTAACACACTTAACAGTATTAGTCGATTTCAAAAGCGTCTGATACATCATAATTGTTGATTTTGGAAGTAAATTAAATTCATGCTTGGAATATAATTTCCCATCCGAATTCAGAAATTGTTTCAGGTCCATCAAATTTCCCGTCGACAAGCAGCAATAGGGTTAGCACTTTTCGCATTTGGCAATAAAAAGCTGTACCGTTTGCATTCGGGAACTGAGCTGTATGTTTTTGAAAGGAATTTTAGATTCTGTAATTTTGTGCATGTTGTACAAGATTATTCACTGTTTTAGAGTGCAAACAGAACGAGAAATGCCACTGGTCGCAATCGCATAAAAAGGTAACTTTCTTACTCTTCTAAGGTTGTCGTTCTGTTTCATATTTTGTATCTGAAAGCCATTCGCTATGCTCCACATTTGTTTTAGGGCGGATCGAGCTTATCAAAACGGTGTTATGGAAGTGGATGATCAGCCCGGTTTGTTTAACTGTTTTTGACTGATTCTGTTCTGAATGAACAATATAACAGCAGTGACTTTTTTCCGTGAAATTTCTTCCAGTAATCATAATTGTTA